GAGCCGAAGGCAGACGCCTAACCATCTGAGCCACCCAGGCGCCCTCTGTTTCCTTTTTTGCACACATTCATGGTGGCTGAGTTCCAGTAGGGATATGTACTTACGAGTCTACCCCGAGCACCTTAAACCCTGTCTTCACTCACCTACACACACCCCAACCAGCCCCACACACACCTGAGATGTCTCCACGGCGGGGGGCGGGGGGGCAGCGGGGAGAGATCCTGTTGCCGGGCTGTTCTGGACTTCCGAGATACCCAATACCAAACTATACTTGCAAGGCTGCAGGAAGTGGGGCCTCCTCACACCAAAATGGGTAAAGAACCCTATTTAGAAGGTGTAATGTGTTAGGAAGGAGGGACACTGAAGTGCAGGGACAGTCCTAGACAGAACTGTGCAAAGGGGTGTCCACCTCCTGTCCCTTTCCCTGTCCCTATTCTACTCTATCTTCTGCCCCACACCTTGACCCTTCCCGACAGAGGAAAGTGAGCAGATTCATTCATCGTGAGGAATTGGTGAAATCAGGTTTGAAGAGATATATAAGAGAGCCATAAATGAGGACACTATTTAGCCTCAAGAAATGAATTATAGCACATGGATTCCAAATATTAGGGCTAAGAGAGCTGTTTCTGGGCACTGGGCCTATGCTATGCCTTTCAGGTCTCAGCCCACAAACCTCCTCTTTATTCTGAGTCCTGCCAGTAGACTTGAGGCCAGAAAAAGCAGGGGCATAGGGGAAGTTAGGGAAGCCTACTTGGGGCTTTAGGAGCTCTTTACTCAGTTGATAAGCTTTTCATTGCCTCCCTATTATTGCTCAGGCAAATGGGATTGAAAGGTCAGAAAAACCTATTGGGTTTGCCATTTTAATCACTTCTGTCTCCCCAGGTGTCCGGGTGATCCCCAAAACAGCATGTCTCCAGCCCCAGACCTGCCGGCTGGGAATCGGGACTCCTCCTTCCCCAAGGCACTGAGGCAGGATTTGCCTCCAGGTCTCCGCCCCCAGGGCAGAGACCCTCCCTGTCCAATTGTCTTTCCCTCCCCATTCCCCCACCCCACCCCCATGGCATGTTTCATGACAACCTTGTTGCTACATCAGAGTGTATTTTTGTAATTCCTCCAGCTAACATAGAAACAGCCCCATTTTTCCTTCTCACTCCCCTTTCTTCTAACAGGGGTGGGTCAAAGGAACAGGAAACCAAGCCTGGGGTTTTGACTTGTCACTGCCATAACTTGTTTGTAAAAGAGCTGTTCTTTTGGACTGATTGTTTAAAACAGGTATTTCTCCATTAAACTTCTACTGAGCAAATGGTTAATAAACTGGTTGGCTGTTTTTAAGTGAGGTAACTGAGACCTGAGCCATCAGAGCCGCCTCTCTTGGGAAGCAGAGGCAAAAAGCACACGGCTCTGCTTGATATAAAGCACGACAGGCAAGAATATGCGAGCATAAATACCCCAATTGTGCTAGGTCTCCAGATCCAAGTGCGTGAATGGATTGGGGGAGGGGGGTGGCAGGGTGCTCGGTACCTCCCAGTGCCCATCAGCACCACCGCTCGGGCAGCTCACTGGGCTCCACCCCCAGTTTCTGACTCTGGAGGAATTTGCATTTTTAACAAGTTCCAGGTGATGCAGATCTTGCTGGTTTGGGACCACTGGATGGAGACAACAAGGAAAAGGGCAGTGTCATTTTTATCTCCAATTTAACATGAAACATGTTAAGGAGTAACTGTCAGGCCAAGAAACATGGTGCACCCAGACAGGATCAATGAGGAGAGTCAACCGTCTACAGTGCAGACGGGGTGATGGGAAATCAGGAAGAGAGGGTAAGGAGCTCTTCCGGGGAGTCCTGGTGAGGGGGAGTTACTACTGGAACCCAGGGAGAACTGCAGCTCCCCCCACCCCGTACCTCTCAGCAGGGAAACGGTAGCCATTCAGACACTGTGTGGTGCAGGAAGGGCCAGGAGACGCAATATCCCCACTTCTCTCTCCTCCGGCCCTTTAGACCCCAGTCTGGTCTCACCTGTTGATCAGATCCAACTGGAAGCTGGCAAGTTAGAGTGCGTGCATGCAGCCATCAAGGTGAGCCTGGGAGGTGCAAATGGAGAATGTGCAGCCCGAAGTCACAACCGATGTAGAAGGGCTTGGACAGACTGTAGCTTAGCAGTGGATTCTACTGGGACTTTTCTTGG